ATTATTACCTCGTGAAGCTTTCAGTACTGACCAAACCACTTGCCTACCCCATGAAGACCCCCAAAGCAAACCCTTGGCTATTGCAGTCCTTTATCTGTAAACCCTGAATGCTTCTTTATGCTTGAAAGTGAACAGCAAAACTTTGGCATTTACTTGCTGTCTCTCCTTAGTAAAAATAAAAATGATATTTAAGAGCTCCTTCTAATCCCTATGATTCATATGTCAGACTCCCTACATTCATCATTTCAAGCAAGTTTTTTTTTATCCATTTCCAGGCCTAATGCTGAACCATGTTTGAGGCAAATTGCTATCTTTTTATTCCTAATGTGCTAAACAGTGTTAGTAAAGAATGCCTGTGACAACCTTCATTCAATTCCTCCTGTTGACTGGCAAGATGTCTATATAAACTATTTTCTTCATTCCTCCAAAACATTTTAAAATCATGGAGACAACAGCAAGCTCTTCTTTTGTTCATCAAAACACATAATCACATAGAAAGAGCAAACTCTCCTGCCTATTTTTTTTCCTTGGAGCCTGTAAAGTTTCAAATCAAAGCCACAATAATACACAGCTGATGAGTAACATTACTGTGACTACATGGCAAGCACACAGGAGGTACTGCATTATATTGACCATTATTTTAAACTTCTGCCTTCTGAAAACTGAGTGTCCATGACTGTGGTCATCTGCAGCAGCCATAGAAAGTGACTTGGATCCATAAACAGGGATAATTAAAACAAAGTCAAATTTCCCAAGATCCACATGGGAAACTACATGTCATCCTCAAGCCGAGCTTTAGAAGCCCAGATGTGTAATTATGCTTAAAGCTGCTGAGAAAACTGACTCAATCCCTCCTGCAAGAAACTTCCAGTTCACCTGACATACAGTAAATTCAGTTCAGAGAGAGTTCAGACTCTGCTAGAGGACACGCTTCTAGAACTATGCAATTTTTAAAGCACAACCTCTGATCTGATTTTCACATTCAAGATTATAAAGTGAATGACCAAAAGCAACCTATATTTTTCATAATAAAAAGATTATTCCATTTCCAAAGACAGGAAGATATTACTCAAACAATAATGGTTTGCACCACAGCATTGCTTACATACTTAAACAGTCAAGACTAAAGCAATACTACGATTTCCAGCAGAATTTCCATTAACAGTGACCAGTGTAAGATCTAAAATATAATCTAGCATATCTGGTTTCAGCCATTAGTGTACTAGGGCGCATAAGTATATTAATCTGTTTTCTGCAAAGCTGTGCATGCAAATTCATCTATTTGTTGCACTCAGTCTAAGCCTACTTGCAAGTAAGATCATGGGTGACTCAGCTTGAGGTGAACCATCACTACAGACCATCTGCTACAGCACATCCTCTCTGCTCAAAAGCCTCAGAAGCCCTAGCTGGATGAGGTAATTCAGTGAGACTATGTAAAAGCTAAGGTCTTTCACAAAACCCATTTTCGGCTGAAATTGTAATAGGGATACAGTACAGTGCTACACAGGCCCCAGAAGGCTAGTGTCAGGATGAGTCAGCATAGAATAATGCTGTAAAAGCCATGTGTAGCTCAAAAAAAAAAAAAAGTAAATCCAAACACAGTGGGCATGGAAACTAAATATCTGTTCTGCATCAATGAATTATGCAGATCTTCGTGCAAAATAAGCTCTGAATGCAATGAAACCATTAGCTCATCAAGCCCAACAAGCTACAGTACAGAATAATTCTGGGGTGTTTGATATTTATTCTTGCTTGTCATGACATACTAAAATACACCACAGATATTCACTGATGAGTACAATAGGTTGCAGGTCTACAGGCAGCATAAGTAAGAGTAGTCAGCTGCCAAAGCTGTACTTCCACTGATTCTTTTATGTTGAATCCCACCTGGAATTAGACAAGGATGAATTCTTCCCCCTCCAATAACTGTATATTTCTATATATAAGAAGCCCCATAATTTCTGATAAAGACCTTGTAACATACTAAATTGTCTGCCATAGTTATTTGCATCAAAAGAAGTATGATTTTGTATAGATTCTTTATCAAAATAACTCGACAGAGTATCATTAACATCATTAATGCTAAACAATCAGGAAAAATCTCTCGGCATTAAGGAATGAGGTAAAGAAACAGGATAGGCACAAACATCTCTGGTTTTGCTGCCTTGTTTTCAGAGATTTTTATCTTGGCATATGCAATATACTGGAGCTCAGTCAAGGACTGGAGTTCTTTCTCACAATCCATTCCACCTCCTGCTTGTAGGCGACTGGAATGCTATCATCCAAATTGGTCTGCCATTCATCATCTCTAGAGAATTTACACTACAGATAAATTTGCTGCATAAACTCAATGTAATACACACCTAAATATGGATACAAATATGAACAGCAATTAGCACACATCTATGGGTTTGCATTCTTTATCATCAAGTAGCCTGCAAACTCATGTTAAGCATACTTTAATCAGGTAAAGACAACTAAATGATTTGCTTTTGAAAGATTTTAAAAAAGCAAGCAAACAAAAAATGGTCTTTTAATTCAAGCAGCTTGCTCACAAAAAATGAATGCATAAATATCAACATCATAAACTTAACTTGTTTTCTATTAATATAAGAAATAGCAAAGTAACTCATCGGTTTTTCCAAACTTTCACAAGGTGAAATAATCTTAGCATTATTTTTCTTTTTTTTTTTTTTCTGAAGTGCACCAATGTACAGCCTATAGAGAATGCTATGCATTTGAAGTGTTTCTCTGTGTGGATATTTTACTTGTAAAAATATATAAGGAATGATTCCATAAACAAGATAATACAATCACATCATCCTATTTGTTATAAGCACCACATTGTACTAAAAGTTTAAATTCAGGTACCATTTCCCAAAATGATTTTGCTAATATAGCCATTCTTACATAGACAACGTCAGTAATTCTGCATTGAAAAGTGACTGCTCTTTCAACTAGTTTTTCACTTGCTGTTTTAGAAGTAACACTATGAAATAAAAACACCTCTCTTGCTTTTATAACAACATAATGAAAATGTTGGCCCATAAAATCTTTTTACTACAGACAATTTATGGACATCTTTAACTTTTAATGTTATGTTTTACATGTTGTGTAAAGGATTCTTCCAGGTCTTTCTAAGTCCTTGCAAGAACATGACTTAACTGTGGCAGATCTACCCATTTTGCACACAAACAAACAACTGCAAAGTTCCAGGTTTTATGGGACATAGTCCTGGATAGATGACTGCGTATAATACATGGTTTTTTAATAGACACACAGATATATAAAGATATATATCTATACATATAGATACATAAATATATATGAGCATATAGACTTTTTTTTAACTGGAGAGCATCTCCTCTTGATTAGATCATTTTCATATTCATGCTTTTGTGGCTAATAACAGTACTGTAGGTTGTTATTATATACATTTTCATTGTTATCATCATGATCCTTAGACAATAATATTCTCATGTTTGCTAGTAGTCAATAGTTTTAAGTTCTAGCTGAGATTTATTTGCTACATACACACTTCTAGCACACTGAAGGAAAGCTGCTACTCTCAATATGAAGTTTTTAAGAGTACAGATCCATCCAGGGCAGAGACAGGAAAGTAGATTAATTGAACTCAAATGACAGTTTTGCTGTTCCAGTGGGTTTCTTAGTCATATGTAGAAAGAATTACTGCCCGGGTACTTGAGTGAGAAAATCTGCAAAGGGAAAGAAACCCCAAAATCTCCTATGCTTTTCCTTTCCCACTGCAGTTGATAGAGTTAATGCCTCAATCCAGAAGTTGTATCAGTGACTTCTGTGCACTATTGTATATATATTCTAACACAACCTTAAAAAAGTATAATATCCATTCCAATAAAAAAACAAACAAACAAACAAAATTTTTACAAATAGTGTCTCCTGCTGTACAAATGACCATAGTCTACCTAATTTAAAATACATAGCACACAAGGTAAGACAGAGAACAGAAATTAATACGGATCATTTAATAGGATGCCATGCTATACAAACTTATGGGAAATAAGTCTACTCTTCAGAGACTACTTTATATTCAAGTAGTTTCTAAAATCATAAAGACATTTTATTCATCTGTAAAATTGTTTCCTTCTTTGTGTCAGAATTATTCATTAGCAAAAACATTCCACGGGTTTAAAATTAAAGTATAAAATTCTTCTTGCTGTTCTGTATAGGACAAACTTCTGTAAATATTTTCTAAGCAAGGATTACCTTTTCCACTAGAAAAATTGCAACTGTTACCAGAGTACAGAAAAAGTAGGCTTAGCAATGGCATCTATTTCAGTGGAACTCCATACTCATTGGTACCACAAAATATACAAACGCAGACAATGATATAAAAACATGTAAATAAGTGAATAGATATATTATTCAGGTTAATAAATGGAAATATTTTGATACATATGATGATACTGACTTGAATTAGTTATAATGTTTGTAGCTGTCTTGCAGATCACCACAGACATCTCAGCCTTAGCTTCTTGGGCACAAGCAGCCACTTAAATGTCTGAATTAATTTCTACAGTCCCAATTCAGTATCAGTCACAGAGTGCAGTGTTGGTTTTCCTTTTTTGCTGCTGCTATGGCAATTCTTATCTTCATATACTGGCCTGTACACTAAACTCATAGGTTGCTAAACAGACTAAAATCAAATCTTGCATTTCAAGATCTGAAATGCAGAAACTCTGAAATAAAAATATTGCCATCTTCAGATAACTTACTTTTGGTAGTAAATTAAGTATTCCCTTCACTTAATTTATAGGACAAAAACATCCTTGTGTAAGCCCATTCCAACGTAGGAGAAACATCAAAAATTCCTATAATTAAAGGTTTCCAGCAATGTCTCCTCCAGAACAGATGACTGTGAATTCCCCATAACACTCAGTTAAAAGGATTTTCCATTTGAGCATTCCCTTACATAAGGTAGTGTGGAAACTTAAATACATGAAATATGCTTTTACTCTTACCAGAAAAGACACTGGGAATCTTGGAAAGAAAACTTTTGACTGTACGAATAGGAATCCCATTTTTCTCATCTTGCATGCGGGCTATGACGTCTTCCATCTGAACATAGGTGAAAGAGAGAAAGAATAAAGAAATCCAGAATTATTTCCTAAAATAAATTCTCCAAGAAATCCTAGATCAATCTCTCAGAATGACAAGTATTTCTTTTTAAACTTATAGTTAATATTTTATATTTTTATTGAACAGGCTAAAAAACCTGCAAGTAATTTATTCTTGGACAACATTAAAAAAATGTATGTTCTCAAAGTCTCTTGAGAAAGAAACACCAAACGAGAACAGAGAGATTTAGTTAAAGTAGTTAAAAGAAGTAGTTAAAAAACGCTGCTGGACTGGATATAGAATATGTTTTGATTGTCTTCCTGGTATTGTACTACATATAAAAGCAAAATAGACTCATGCAGCCTTCTAGGGAACTGATACAGTTCTCAAAAAGTCTGTTCAAAATAAAAATAGAGCTTTTAAGTTCAAACATTAATTTTTTTTCTTTTGAGAAGAGGAAAAAGATACATGATGCAATTTTTCATCCCTGGAGACAGCAGAGCCAGAGATGCAAGATATTTGTAAGTAACAGAGTGGGTATAAAATTTTAAAATCACTTCGCTGTATTTAATATTTTTACATTAGTTCATTTTTCCCAACTCAATTCTTTAGGTTAATTTTGCCTGTGTATTTTATAAATCATGCCTAACCCAAACGGTCACTTTACTGGGAACTATGAACAGCAACCCCTTTTCCTGGAAAACACAAAGAATATTTAGATAGAGTCATTGCCTGACAATGCTATTTTTTATTCTTGTACTTTTCATAACTGAACTTTGAACATTAGATAACTCCCATTTTCTTTTTTTGAATATCTAACTCCTCAAAATATTCAATGATATCACCATAAAATAATTGCAACTGTCCTTCCTTTTTCCTTAAATCACCAACATACTCCATACGAAAAACTCTGTGTGACAGAGCAGCTTATATTATTTCAACAGTCAAATCACCTCTGCCCCCCAGTAGGTTCCCAAAGAATTTGTGGCTGGGCTGCAGAGAAAGGAGGCTAACAGACAAAATTCTGTTATACACCTTTTTCCATAGAAGTCAGATGACCTAAATTAGCAAAGAGCAAATCAGCATTACTTGCAGCTGTGCATTAATTGGTCCAATGGGAAGTTGTATAGAGCCAGGAAAAGGAAAGGAAGCAGGGGTCACCAGTGGTGTATATAGGAAAAAGAACAAAATTCCATCAAAAAATGAAACCAAAATCAATTAGTTTGACTGCTCATGAAAACCAGGTTTATACAGAGAGTATCTGGAGGTTTGAATGCTGCATATACTTATGGATCATACATTAATAACCCAAGAAACAAAAATCCAGTGGCATAGTCCAAAATCCAAAGTACACACAAGATGCAGATATTGTCAGCAGGATATGGAAGACTGAGTCTATTGCTCAGAATTAGGGAATGTATAAATGTTACAAAAAAAATATCCAAAACACCACCGTTCATTGTAATGAGTTTCATCTGATATGGAATTCAATTATTTACATAGAAAAGGCCATTAATATTATTCTGAAGAAATTGTCAAGCAGACAAAATGCTATGAAATGGAATCTGCCCCTACATTTGTTATCCATACAATAAAGGGAGGCTTGTTCCAACCCCTTCTAAATTCAGATGGTAAACTGTCTTACTGAGCCCTTAAATGAATAAGAAGTCACTCGAATTCAGGTGTATATCTTTGCTTTAAACAAGGAAGTAAATTTTAACCATAGATGCATGGTCTTCTATGAAAATGAACAGAAGTAAATTTAATGATAAATTCCATGCATGCAGTGTAAGCTTAGGAAATACTGCTAGAACTGCAGAGGGCATAATAATGTGTGCTACACTGGGACAAAATTTGGATGCAATTCATACATAAGGCAATGTGATAAAGGTGTTTTTGCATTATAATAAGGACTACTAGAAAGGTAGGACACAGTCCTGGAACCTGACATTGCAGGTAATGATTTGCAGTTACCTCTTTCTCAGGATCACACAAGAGTGCAAACATTTAATACCTAGCATACCTAGCACTGTCAGTAATCAGTCCTTCTAGGGTATACGGAATATATTGTTAACTGACAGGCACATACGCTTTCCTAAACCTGCTTCATGAACAAGATTTAATCTAAGCTGTATAAAACCTTACTCTGATTGGAACTGTATCTTTCAGGAAGTTATCTTTGATTAGCAAAGCAAGTCTAGGATGTCTGCACTTCAAAAGTACACCTTCCCTTGGCTGTTAAGTTCAGATTATTGTTCCATGTCAGGAGCAAACACCTGTGCAAAAGGCAGCTCCCACTCCAGACAGCTTCACTGTGAACTGCCTGGTTAGTTCCGTGTGCAACGATTACTGCATAAATGAGAGTGGATGTTCTGAAACAACATACAAAATGCAACAGAAGACTCCTGATAAGATACCATGGCCCTGGGATTCTATATGTTATCTGCTAAGCTACAAAATCTTTCTTTGTCTTGTCCCTTTTTGAGCACAAATCCAAAAGGTCACTTGTGTTTTGTGGTTATCTTAAATGTAAGAACTCAGCGAAATGAAGAGCAAATTAAAAAACAAAAACAAAACAAACAAAAAAAGAAAAACCTACAAAAAACAACAATCAAACACATCAATTAAAGATTCAAAACCATCTAACTCAACATATGCAGGTGCACAGTTTAACTTTCAATACATGTAGTCCATATTTCTGCTTTAGCTGCTTTAAATTCAGCAAACATATAATCTTGTCCACTGAAAACCATCTCAGTTATATTTGGGAAGCACCATTCAAGGCTCTTGTCTTGTCATTCATCAATGACCTAAGATAATGGAAAGGGCAGAATAGTTTGATTAGAATAACAAAAGAAACTCTTAATCTAATTTTGCTCAAGAATTCTAATCTGGGAAACACAAACTGCTGCTCAGTATAATAATTTTCCTTGCTGATGTTTGCTTCTGAGTCACCTGACCCAATGCTCAAACGTGAAACATAAACTCCTCCACTTCACCTCAGAATTAGGCTTTCACAGTTCTGTTTCTATGGGCTTATTTACCTAAACCTGACTGGCTTGGATCATGCCAATATCCAGTGGGGTATTTTTTAGCCCTAAACGTTCTCAAAGAACTCGGAGAAAACAAATACACAAAAAGCTGCCTCCTGATCACTCTTCCAGTGAAGCTCAATGTGCTTGAGAAAATAAAGTTGTAGAAGCACATCTGTTAGATTTTCAGTTCTCATTATGCACAATTAACAGGGAAAGGGGTGGCTAGAAGGAAGTTCACAATGAAGCACAGATTCTACAGGAGTATTTCTAAATAAGCACATACTATCAAAAATGTGTCATTTGTTTACCAGTGAGGCAATTCTAACTGGGACAAAAACTTACTAATCTTCTGATGCATAGGCACCTCAGACCACACTTACAGTATTAATATTTAAAATTTCACTCATCTCCATGTGAAAGATAATTTGCAGTCTTCAACCTGACACATAAGGACTCTTTGAAATCTGTTTCAAAGACTGACTCTGACAACAGTGACAATGCACCTTACATGAAGCAAAAAGGAAGATAGCAATATCCTGTAATAGAAAGGTTACAGGACACAGGAGCCATTGAATAATGACCACCGACTCTGCTCCAAACACACTGGGAGCTAGTCATGGAGACACGCATAACTTACCTCAGGGGCAGAACCCATAGAGGACTAACAAGCCCACAGAGCATCTGGCCTTGGGGAAGAGAGACTAAACGCTGTCAAATGGGAAGTGAAGGTGATGGCTCTCAATACTGTGTATTGCTAGAACTCCACTGAAGGACTAGGCTTATTAGTAGGCTTCTGTGCTTTGATATGACCATAAGAGGTTTCTGCCATATAAGGTAAAATTAACCCCTTCTATCTTTAATCATCAGTTACTATCTAAAGGTATCTGTCTTTCTCAATTACTGACAGTGGAAGTCCTGACAAGAAATCAGGACTAGTATCCTTTAGCTACTTACAGCTACACAGAATGAATACAACTCCTAGAAGCAGAATTTTTACGGTTACTTAGATTTCAATCCATGTGGTTTGGGAAGACCCCAATCTTTCCATTTCTAAATCTAAATATGAATTTCATTGCTAATCATCCACACATCTTGCAAAAATTATCCCCTTGCACCATAATTCAGCATCACTGATTCTTTAGAAGTAGGGTTTTTAATTAACTTAAAGATGACAAAAGTCAAAAGCTCAAAAAGTTTGTCAGTGCAGTACAAGAGGGTTTTTTTCCCTTAAAAGCAAGGCTAAATCAACTCCACATAAAGATGATCACTAGATACAAGGATTCCAAAACTAAAAAAAGAAAGCAATGGTCTGGAACTAACTAAAGTTCAACATGCATTTTAATGCTTGAAACCTTGACCTACCTACACATTTACAGGTATCTCAATTCAATTTCTATTACTAAAACAAATTTCAGTGCCAGGGAATTAAATCTATATCAAGGAATACTTGAAATAAACTAGCCACAGTTTTGTACTCAGTTATGGTACAGGGAATTGCTGTTGAGTACTGGGGTCCACCCACACTACAGCTTTGGTAATTTTGATAAAATATTTCATCATTCCACCCCAAAGGCAGGGGTGGAATAACGCAGTGGAAGTAACTACAAACCTCATCCAAACTTGTTAACAAAGTACACCAAGTTACAATATGCAATAATTTCTTACACTATGCACCAAGTTTCCCTAGGCAATTTTTCCCCTCTGTAGTCAAACACATTACCAAGTCAAAGTTCACTAGTGTGGCTCGCCAGCAGTTGCAGGAGGCCTTCCTTACCCAGCCCCAGTACAGAGACACACATGAAGCAACAAGTTGCATTGCTTGTTTTCAGTGTAATAGCAATTTTTTTCCATTTTCCAAAACTACACAGAACATAGTCTCATTTCGTTAGCATTATACTGAAAATGAATTACCTGTAACTGCTCATCCTTTCAATAGCACTCCTCTCTTGAAACTCCACTGTATGA